CAGAGTCCTAATAAAAGCTTGGTAGACAGTATATATTATTACAGCTGTAGGAAGATAGGCAGATGGTCATAGGGTGTAGAGATAAGGAAAAGATAATCAAAGTTTCATGGAAGAGGGGGATAAAGTTAGGGTCTCAAATCTAATTGCTGAAGTAGAGGGTGACCAGATTATGAAAGCGGTTGAGCACTACTGCTAAGGAGTTTGCCCCTGCTCATAAAAGCTATGGAGAGTTACTAAATAATTGATTATTGCCATAGAAGGGATATAGTCAGATCTGTGTTTCAAGAGGGAGGAGACATGGTGCTGCAAACCTTTAAGCTCAGCACTGAGGAAGTGAAAGTAAGCAAATCTCAATGAGTTCTTGCCAGCCTGGTCTACACAGTGAACTCCAGGCTAGCCAGTGCTAAAAGTGAGAGCTTGCCAATAAATAAATAAAAGGTGGGGAGGAACAATGTGGGCTGAAGAGGTGGCTCAGTGGTTAAGAGCAATTACTCCATTATGATTATTGTTCTTTTTTGTTTTGTTTTGCTTTTGTTTTTCGAGGCAGGGTTTGTCTGTGGCTTTGGAGGCTGTCCTGGAACTAGCTCTTGTAGACCAGGCTGGTCTCGAACTCACAGAGATCCACATGTCTCTGCCTCCTGAGTGCTGGGATTAAAGACATGTGTCACCACTGCCTGGTTTATGACTATTGTTCTTACAGAGGGCCTGGGCTGTGTTCCTATCAACCATAAGATCGATCACAACTCCAGTTCCAGGGGATCTAATGCCATCTTCTGACCATGTTGGGCTTCTGCAGGCAGAACAGTGTGTACATAATAAATAAATCTTTAAAAAGAAAAAAGAAAGACGAATAAATAGAAAGAAAAGAAAAAGTGGCTCAATGCAGCTGTAATTTGAGGGTACTAGGGAAACAGTAAGCCAATGAAGCAATCTTACAGGAAATCGTTTTTTCTTTTTTCATTCATTATTTTGTAGATGGATGTTTTGCCTACATTTACATATGTGTACCTATGGAGAAATACAAGTGGAGTCAGAGTAATTTATTAGGGGAGATACTCACACAAGGGAACCAGTGACCTGGTTGGCACCCTGAGGCAGTTGGACCCAGAAATGCTTCCCAGTGTCAGCTCAGCCTAGAGAGCGACCACGTGTGCTGGCTTCCCTTGTTCTTATACACCCTGCTACATAGCTGTGACCATGCCCAAACGGGTGTGGTCATCGGTACCTATAATCAGGGTCTCTCCCTACAATTCCCCTTTTAGTCTAAAGAGGATTTAAACTTGATACAAAACTAAATTGTGTACAAAACGTCTTAACATATGTAAGAGCATACATCATCTTAAATAGAGAAAACTTTACAGAGTAAAACGATGTGTGACAAACAAATTATACATAAGTTACATCATACAAGGATCTATAACAGTGTAAGTTATCTATAATTAACAATCATAAAGGTGAATCACAAGAAGATATAATAATCTACTTATATCACATCCTAACTATATCTATTCCATCTAAACTCTAAAGTCCATCTGAAAGAGATGTCCAAGCCTGAATACCTCCTTCCAAACCCAACCCTAAACAATAGGAAACTAGCCCTAACGAGGTGTACATTATCCTTAGTGTCAACAGTGGGGAAAGGGGCATGTAGTATTCTCCGAGTTACTTCCTGCTGAAATGGGACGATCATAGCCTCATGGGGTCCTGTAGGAAGAAAATGTTAAGAGTAGTGGATTATCTGCAACACATGTATCCAGTCTGTGTTTGGTTTGAGATGCTTGATTGAAGTTCTTGATTGATTAAAGTTTATATCTTGATTGAAGTCCTTGTGTTGATTGAAGTTCTTACTTGAAGCTCTGGCCAGAGTGTAAATAGAATGTGCACCATCTCAGCTAGCTGTTCTGGAGTTGTTTAAAGCGATGTAGTCCAAACCAAGTGTGGGATGGAGATTGTCAGTTCAACGCATCAAGTTGGATCCAGTGGACTCAATGAGGTGGGGCCCCATCTTCTTTCTGGAGAGTTCAAAGATTGCTTTTAGGAAGTTATTTGCTGTGGGGAACTCAGGGTCTCTCCCTACATGTACCATGTGCATGGTTCGACCCGTAGGAGACCAGAAGAGAGTCTCAGATTTCCTGGAACCAGAGTTACAGATAGTTATGAGTCACTATGTGGATACTGGGAATCAAACCCAGGTCTTTTGGAAGAGCAGATAGTACCCTTAACTGCTGAGCCATCTCTTCAGCCCCACAGAGATGTTCTTGATATAATCTATATTCTCTTTTTATCTATCCCCCATTTTTACACTACCTCCTTGCTACTGGGTGCTGGAATATCTTTATGAACACTGAGTCTGCTTGAAAGGGTGTGTATGTGGGTGTGCATAGGGAGATTGAACAGTAACTGTGGCTAAAACTGGACATTGATGATGCTATTTAAGGCACAGCCTGCCTAGGGTATTTACAGATATAAGCAAATCCACAGGAGAACAAGAGATACTGGAAAATATCAACAGCAGCAGCTAGTTGGACAGTGGACAAATGCCAAGTTAGGAAGCACTAAGTGCCTGCTGGTTAAGGGGAGACTGGAAGTCTAATTGCTTATTAAATTTCTAATGCTTTTGTAATTAATTTACTCATTAATGTATTTTGGTTTTCGAGACAGGGTTTCTCTGTGTAGCTTTGGAGCCTATCCTGGCACTCACTCTGTAGACCAGACTGGCTTCAAACTCACAGAGATCTCCTGCCTCTGCCTTTACCTCCCGAGTGCTGGGATTAAAGGTGTGTGTCACCAACACCTGGCTAATGCTTTTTTAAAAATGATATTTATTTTATGTGTGTGTCTGCATGCATGCATGCATATAAGTGCCCACCTTGGGTGTGGAGGTAAAAAAAATAGTTTATGGGACTTGGTTATCTCCTTCCACCATAAAGGTTGAAGTTGTCATATTTGACAGCAAGTACCTTGCCATCTTGCCACTTACATTCCCCCTTCTTTCCTTTTAGAGGCAGAGTCAAGGCTGGCTTTAAATTTGCCATGTAACCGAGGATGTCTTTGAACTCTTGGTCCTCCTGCCTCTACTTCCCTCCTGCTGAAATTACAGGCTTGTGCCACCACACCTGTTTGCTTGACTTCTTTTTCTGAATGATGGATTTTACCAAATTCACCTGTCTAGATTTTTTTGTTTTGTTTTGTTTTGTTGTTTTTGTTTTTCGAGACAGGGTTTCTCTGTGGCTTTGGAGGCTGTTCTGGAACTCGCTCTGTAGACCAGGCTAGTCTCGAAATCACAAGAGATCCATCTGCCTCTGCCTCCTGAGTGCTGAGATTAAAGGCGTGTGCCACCACTGCCCGGCACCTGTCTACATTATTAAGAGGAGCAAATGGAACAGTATAAAGTCTCTAGCACGTTGTAAGAACACATTTCTCTGCTTTTCCTTCCATAAACCAAACAGACCAAAATATGCCTAGAGGGGGTCACTGGCCACTGAGGTCAGAGAAGGCTTAGGATGAGGTCCAACTGTAGCTTGTGTGTCTGGTTGTAACAACCTTCACATATTGGGCTGGAGAGATGGCTCAGAGGTTAAGAGCACTGGCTGTTCTTCCAGGGGTCCTGAGTTCAATTCCCAGCAACCACATGATGGCTCACAACCATCCATAATGAGATCTGGTGCCCTCTTCTGGCCTGAAGGATACATGCAGACAGAACAATGTATATATATTAAATCTTAAAACTAAACTAAACTAAAAACCTTCACATATTGGGCACTTTCCACTTGCCTGCCACTGCTGTATTTCTCCAATTCTCACAGTACCCTGTGATGTAGATATCCATCCCTTAAGCCATTTTACATATGAAGGAACAGACTCAGAACTGTGAGTTGAATGGTCCACGCTGTACAGATCCCAAGAGAATCAAATGCAAGACCAGAGACCCTCAAGCCAGACATTGGTATTAATTTAGAAACTGAAGGACCCAACCTCAGGGGCCAGTATTTAGGGCCATAGGAACAGTCAAGGAATCAAAATAGGGAACAAGAGCAAAGTAAGCACCACTGGGGTGGAGCCGGACAGAAGACATGAAGTCACAAGTCAGAAAACACAAATCTAGTTGCTGAGACTGGATAGAAGTGGTCATTTTAGGCTTGGTGGCAGTGGTGGCACATAACTTCAATCCCAGCACTCAGGAGGCCAGCCTGGTCTACAGAGTGAGTTCTAGGACAGCCAAGGCTACACAAAGAAAGCCTATCTTGAAAAACAAAAACAAAACAAAGTATCCACCTTATTTTTATGAGGATTAAATGAGTTACTGCATACAAAGTAGAAATGTTCCTAGGATATAGAGGATACCAAGACAGGTTATTACTGTGAGAATTTAAGTAGGGTTTAAGTGCTGATAACTGGCTCAGAAGTTCTGCATCTGCTGTAGGTGGTCCTGGCAATCCCCTAGATGCCTAGAGGAGAAATAAATATTTGGTTCCTCACCTCCTCCTTCCTTTTTTGGTAGGATAATCTTTTCAGAGAGATTCCCCTTTAATGGATCAGCCGAGGCCAGGCCAAAGTGAGAAAAGAACACTGGGAGCTGGTTTCTCTTCGTTGTGAAGAACCTTTTAGCTGGGTCCCGCAGAACTTCCACCTCCTCATCCCTACCCCCCCCCATCACCAGAGACGTCAGACAGGATAGGGCGCCCTCTTCTGATAGAACGTGGGACTAGGTTTGGCCCAAAGTTGCTGGGATAGATTTACAGTATCTATCTCACTACCTGCAAGGTGGTATTCGTGGAGTTTCTTGTTTGTTTCCCCAGCTCCTTTTGTTGCATGCTGTAACCGGCCATAGGGAGCAAAGTTTGAGGGAAAAGCTCCAAGGCTGGGGCAAAACTGGCTTAATGTTTTAGAAGTGCAAAACTGGATAATTCGTTTAGAATGAGGGTGGAAGACTGGAGAACCAGGTCAGGGAAAGAAAGAAATTTAGGTCCTACTGAATTAATTTTATGTTCTTTCAACAGGTGATGGCATGCAGCCAGAGGTAAGATGACAAGGTGACTTATCCAAGCTGTCAAAGCCAGGTGTCTAGGGCTCTTCTGGCTGTTCTCACGCAGTCAAAAATAGTGGGGACAGAGTATTCCTGGAGAAGCTTGGCTTCTGGAGACACTATATGATCAGTAAAGCCAGGGGTCGCAGTCCCCAAAGCGGGGAGGAGCCAGTGTAGACACGGGCCCAGTTTCCTCTCTAAGATCCGCCCCAGACGCGCTGGCTCCGCCTTGTGCGTTGCTGCTGCGACCCGCCCCCTCCTACTCGCCCCCTGGGCCGGGCGGGGGCTCCAGGTTCCCGCGCCCCTGGCTACGGGTTCTGCCCCGTAGCCACCACCGTTTGGGTGAGTAAGGGAATAGCCGGTTTGGGCCACAGGGTCACATCACTCGGGAAGCCCCGCCACAAGGTCTGGCCTCCACAGGCCTGGAGTCCGGGTGCCTGCCCGCCTTGTTCACATACACTCGGAACACCGGGAACTGTAGGCATACAGACGTAGAGCTGACCTCCTCTGTTTGCTCTGTGGTGGGGCTAGGTGTGCTGGGATTAAACACTGCCTTTACTCCGCAGGGACTCCTGCTCAAGATCCCTCCAGGCGCTGCGGATGGAGGCGTGGGGGAGCCTTGGAACCTCATAGTCTAGTTTGAATCCCAGCTCTGCCAGTTACTAGCCTGTGGTTTTGAGTAAGTGTTTTTAACCACCCCAAGGCTCAGTTTCCTTTTCTGTGATATGGGAACCCAGAGGACACCTACTCTAGAATAATAGGACTAAAAGAGATTGTATATCAAGTGCTGAGTTAAAAATGTGGATTCTGAATGGAGGGTGGTATTGAGATCTTTAGGGACTTTGGATATGAAGTGGGCATACTCCTAAAAAAAAAAAAAAAAAGCAGTTTTCAGAGCCTTGTGTGGCACCTTTAATCCCAGCAACAGGAAGACAGAGACAGAAGGATTGGGAGTTTTCAGCCAGCCTGGGCTACACAGTAAGACCCCCTTCTTTATACACACTAACACACTAAAATAAAACAAAGGAAAACTGACTAAGTAGTACCAGGGAAGAAGTGAAAGCTGTCTAGGAGCAGAACTTTAGGTAGTGTACCCCTAAAACTGAGATGTAAAGCAGGGACCAAGTTGGTTGGGCCTTAGAAATAATCTAAACCTTGTGATTTCTTCCTGTTGTACAATTTGAAACAGTCCGAGGATGGTTAGGTGACTTGTCCAAGGTCACACACCTAAAAGGGAGGCCAGGCACACAGCCAAGAAGTGGAACCAACTATCATTTCTGTTAGTTTCTGAAACTGTTCTTGAACCAACTCATCGTCCCTTCCTGGGGTAAGGTCTGATCAACCTGAAGATCTGGTCTTCTGTTAGAGGAGCCCAAAGGTTCCTAGGGGATTAGGAGGAGGGCTGGTTAAATCTACTTCAAATACAGTCTAGGTATGGGCTGGGTGAGGAAAGTGATCCTGTGTAGGGCCCTACCTATTCAGGGAATGGGTTGGATGTAGGAGGGTCATCAATGCCACTTCCAGTTTCCTGGGGAGATGCTTGACCAAATATTTATTGCCCCAAAGGGAAGGAAGGACCTGAGAACTTGGGCTGGGCAGCCTGGTTTAGGCTGGCAGAGAGGTGGTTGGGAAGGTAGATGAAAATGTCGAGGTGTGTCCACCTGTTTCAGGAATGCTAGGAGGCCATCCTGAGCTCAGAGTTCTGTTTAAGGGTGGGGCCAGAAAGAGTCATGGCTTGAGACCAGAAGGGCCGGTTTTTTATGTAGCTGGAGCCAGCTATAGATTGGCACCAAGAAACCTAAACTCTGGGAGTGACTGTTCCCCAGGTTCAGCCCTGAAGAAGAGATTCTCTAGTCTTGTTTCTCCATCTTTACAATGGGAACAGGCAAATTGGCTTATCTATATAGTATGTAGTATTTGTTTTTCTTTCTTCTTCTTTTTTTTTTTTCTTCTTATTTTTGTTTCTCGAGATGGGATTTCTCTTTGTAGTCCTGGCTGTCCTTGAACTCACTTTATAGACCAGGCTGGCCTCCAAAGATCCACCTGCCTCTGCCTCCCAAGTGCTGGGATTAAAGGCATGTGCCACCATGCCCGGCATATTTGTTTTCTTTAGTCCTTTGCTCACTCCTGTCCTAATCTGACCCTCCTGTCTATAGAGAAAGGGATGAAGAAAGTCAGAGTTGAAATATATGGCTTTTTGTGGACCCTACATTTTCTCACTGCTGATCCTGAGTAGCCTGCTTCAGCTCCCTTTCCAGACACTGAGAGGGGTTAGGCTAGGGTTGGTAGTGTGTACTTAGGTATTATAGTATTATAGTGCCTGGCCTTAGAAACTCTTTTTTCCCTTGTCTCTTGAGACAGGACTTCTCTGTGTAACCGAGCCCTGGTTGTCCTAGAACTTTCTATGTAGACCAGGCTGGCTTTGAACTCACAGATATCTGCCTGCCTCTGCCTCCCAAATGCTGGGACTAAAGGTGTGAGCCACCACTGGCTGGCATTCTTGTCTGAGGGAAAAAAAAAATCAGTTTTTCAGGAACCTACATCTTGTCTCAGGAGGCACTGGATACTGGGAAGGTACCAGAAGCTGACCAGGCAGCTCTGACCTCACACAGCAAGCCCAGGCTCTTACCAGGCCTGATTCTGCAAAGCCTTTCACCCTTAGAGCACATGAGGCAGCAGGCAGGGACAATCATGGGACGGAGGTTCTGTCAGCTTCCATGGTGTCCCTGCTGCACTGGATTGCTGTGCCTGCATATAGCACCCCAGGGTCTGGGAAGGCCTGACAGTGCAGCAGGGCCCTGCACTGGTGAGTGAAGCAATGAGAACTGATAGGCCATGAACCAAGAGGCTGGAGCAGAGGCTTGGGGGTAGGGGTGAGAGTGGGGGGACATGGGCCAGTCTGTTTACCAGGTGGTTCTTGAACCAATGAGAGACTAGCTAAATCAATTTCTGTAGTCTAAGGCCTATCAAGCCAGGCAGAAGCTTGAGGAGAAGATTGTGCAGTCTGTTTCAAACTTTATCTTAGTATAGATGAAGTTCATTGTCTTCCCTCAGAAACTGAAGTTGAGTGTTGCCTTGGGATTCTAAGCTAGTCTTCCTTATCCAGGACAGGAACTGTAAAAGTTTAGGAGTCTCCTCACATTCCCTACCCTATAGCATAGCTAAGTTCTGGTTTGAGCGTGAGTGCTAGCATTACCACTGAGCCCTTAGCCCTGCTGCCTGGGACCCTGACAACATGCCCTCCATTCTCAGGTCTGACAAGATGTACCAAGTTCCACTCACGCTGGACCGGGATGGGACCCTAGTCCGGCTCCGCTTCACCATGGTGGCCCTAATCACAGTCTGCTGTCCACTCGTCGCCTTTTTGTTCTGCATCCTTTGGTCCCTGCTCTTCCACTTCAAGGAGACAACATCTACACACTGTGGGGTAGGGCTTGGAGGGCACTGGTGGCTTATATTCAGACCCATCTGGGCCTTTTCTGAGATCCTGATTTGGTATTAACAGAATTAAGCCAGTTCTATAGGCTCCATCAAATAGACTGGGCTAGTAGGTGGTAGTGGGTTACTTGTAAATTGAAGTCTCATGAATTAGGCTCCTTCTACTTTCCATAAAGGTTCTAGGAACTGGGGTCATTAAAGTGGGTCAGTCCCCAAACCCAGAACCTGGGGGCAGGTCTAGAGGTTCATGCCTTTAATCCCAGCATTTTGGAGGCAGAGGCAGGTGGATCTCTGAGGCCAGCCTATTCTACATAGTGAGTTCAAGAGAGAAAGGGATGAAGAAAGTCAGAGTTGAAATATATGGCTTTTTGTGCACCCTACATTTCCTCACTACTGATCCAGCCAGGGTTATATAGAGAGACTCTGCCTTAGAAAACAAACAAAGACATAAAAACCTAGAGTCCAATCACTGCTTCATAGAGGAACAGATTCAGGAGCTTCCAGGTTTCCTGGAGGGTGAGATGAGGATAGGACTAGCATAGAGGACAGTGTAGGTCTTACAGTGTGTTACAGTGGGCTTATGCCTGTGTTTGTGCATGTATGTGTCTCTTTGTGATTGTGAGGGACATGCCTATATTTAATGGCTTCAAGTAGGGTTGTGTGTGTGAGAGAAATTCCATGGGGGGACCTAGTTATGTGCATGAATATGTGTTCTAGGGTAAGTCCCATGCCCTCTGAGGGTGCTTGAGCTATGAAGAGAGATTTGAGAGTTTCTCCATAAAATATCAGAATAAATAGGGTAAGACTGTGTTGACATCTATTATACTCCTCATTCTCTGAGCAACAGTGCTACCTGAGACCCAGTGAGCTTCAGTTTCTATGTGTATTGAGAGGTTGATGATGCCAGCCCTGCTCCTTTCCAAGGCTAGTGTAGAGCTCCAGGTAGAGACAGCATGGGAAAGGTGGGTTGGGGAGTGCCAAACAGGAGGAGGAAGAGAATGAGAAGGAATAAGAGATCATAAGATTAGGAGGTGAATCAGGAGATACAGAAGCCCCAGGTGAGGCAGAGCCTGGATAGCCTTAGAGAGAACTCTGATGGCCCCTGCCAGCTTCCTTTATATGACCCTCATCTGCTCCATAGGTCTAGGTCTAGCAGATGATCCTGTCTGGGAGTTTGGGGTGAGGGCTTACTTCTTTTGTTGAGTATGACTTAAAACTTTTTTCTGATTGTAGACATGAGCTTTGATTGAGAGTACACAACCTGATGAGAGATATCAGAGGGCCTAAGGAAGCCAGAAGTAGTGACTCATGCCTGTAATCCCAGCAGTAGGGAGGCTGCAACAGGAGGACTCACTTGAAGTCAAGGCCAACCTGGACTAAAGTGAAACCCTAAATAAGTAAAATAAGTAAATAAGTAAATAGAAGGAACAGGTCTAGGAGAAAAGAGAGAAGCTAAGTTAGTAATTCTCAACCTGTGGGTCGTGACCCTCTGGGGTCAAATATCATATATTCTGCATAACAGATATTTACATTATGATTCATAATAGTAGAAAAAAATTACAGTTATGAAGTAGCAACAAAGTAATTTTATGGTTGTGGGGTCGCCATAACATAAGGAAGGTTGAGAACCACTGAGCTAGGTGATCTAAGATCATTTCCTGCCTTATTGTTTACCTATGATAATGAATGCATCATGTATTCCCATTACCTAACTCTTGTCCATCTTGAAAATCCTTTCCAAAGTGTTTCCTCCTCTGGAACACCTTGCCTAGCCTCTTTGAGGCACTTAATTCCCTCTTCTAAGTGCCTACTATTCTTGGTGTTATTGCCACATTTCTCTCATTCTATATCTGTATCTGTCTTCCTCTCCATACTGGAATCTCCATGAGAGCAAGCATTGCACTGAGTCAGAAAGTATTTGTTGAGTAAATAGATAGGACTTCCCAGTCTGGTGCCTTGGGAAAGGCAGATAGTCCAAACAAAATTAAAAAGGTTTTACAGTTTATATGTTAAACAGAGTAGGCTGTTTGCTCTGCCCTTCTGGCTGGCCCTGAGGGCTAACGGGACCAATGACCTCAGCCTACCTGATACCTACTACCCACTCTTGGCATACCAGTTAGGGAACTAAAGCATGAATAGTTGCTTGCCTAGTACCCTGGGAATATTTCATCCCCATTCCCTGGGACTTTTCTGTTGAATACAATTGAAGCTTTTGATTTATATTTTGAATTTCCTATCCAGAATATCCCAGGAAGGGCCAACCCTAGGAATAAAATAAGTAACCTAGCATAACACACCATCATTAATGATGTCACCTCTGCTTATACATCCCAAGTATCAGGGAGCTCCCTTCTTTAGGTAACCTTTCTACAGAGGTTTAGTAACTGACAATGAGCATACTCTTTTTTTGTAGTAAGCATAGATTTAGAGGAGGTGATTTTTTTTTTTTTTTTTTTTTGAGACAGGGTCTCACTATATAGTTCTGGCTGACCTAGAATTTGCTATGTACAACTGGGTGGCCTTGAACTCACAGAGATCCATCTGCCTCATCTTCCCAAGTGATGGGATTAAAGGCATGCACTACAGATTTTTCCCCTCAACTGTCTACTCTGGCCTTGGCTCTGCTGTGATAACCATAGAGCTATGTTCTCCTCCTGGATTTTCTTCAGTCCTGCAGAGATGAGAAGACAGTAATGGAGACCCCTAAGTCTGTCCTGGTAGCATAGCTATAATTTTTGTAGGTAACCTTTCCAGGATAGGGGCTATAGGATCCTTATAACCCTAAATATGTCCTTGGACTCAGTCCAGTTGGTAACTGTATTGGGCCCAGATCTGGATAATAGGACTTCAGCTGACCTGGGCAATACAGGCACAAGCAATACTGTTCATCCCTATTTCTGCTGATGCAGCCCAAGCTGCCATGAGCTATTTCTGTACAAGTACAGGCTGGACACTGATTCCGCATATTCTAGAACTCTGATCTGATTCTACTCTATTTGCTGTTTATGTGTGTGTGCTCAAGCATATGTCACGTATGCATGTCCCAAGGCACATGTGTGGCAGTCAGGGGATAACTTTGTGAGTCAGTTATCTTCTTCCACCTTTACATGAGTTCTGGGGATCTAACTTGGGTCAACAGGCTGCTGAGGAGTGTGTTTACCCTTCAGCCATCTCTCCAGCCCCTTGGCTCTTTTAATGCAGGAGTAGTCAGCTTACCTAGTGAGCTAAAAAAATATTCCCAGTCATGTTTCAATCAAAAAGAGCCAGATCCCATTCTTCTTTCTCCTTTTCCCTTTATAGAAATGCACTTGCCTCCTCTGGACACAATATTTAGAAAGATCTCCGCCTCCATGCCTGGCAAAGAAGCTAGTGGGCTGACCTTAGTCACTATCATTTCTTACAGTTGCACAGTGTTCTGGGATTTATGAGGTGGCCTTGTTGATTCTGAGAAGGCTATGTGCCTGGGCAGGCGTGGAGAACTTGGCTTTGTGGGCGGAGGGCAGGCCCTGAGGACCTGGGGGTGGGACCCTCTGGTCTGAAGCAGTTTCAGTCTGGCTGGAGCCCTCAATCCCAGCCCAGGATTCTTCAGCACCCAGTGTAAGTGTTTCTTGATCAGCCTCCTATTCTACCCCATTCCTGATGAAGAGCTAGTCTGGTAGACTAGGGTCCACTTCCTCCTTGATGGGAGGAAGTATGGGATCCAAGGAAAGATTTGGTCCTAGGCCTTCTAATCCAAAGCCATCTCTATTTGCCCCAGCTTGCCCCAAAAGAGAGCCCAGCTGGAAGAGCCATGGTGGTCAGGGCTAAAGGGGCTGTGGGGAGGGACTTCTCTGCTTGGAGGGAAAAAGGAGTAGGAAAAGATCAGCTTCTTGGGCTTGTGCTTAACCTGGATGGAGGCTTCCTGGGTTTGACTCAGTACATTAAGCTGAAGCTGAAGGGAGAAGGTTCAGAAGAACCTCATACTCCTCCAAATTTGGGATTGGATAAGCTAGTCCTCTCGGAGGGGAAAGGAATGGACATTTAGTCCTCCACAGGATCAGAATGCTGCTGTCCTGTGTCTTGGTTCATTCAGAGCCTGGGGGTGAAATGGCTGGTAACTTGTAGTTCTACTGAAATGGGCCTAGGACACTCATTGTTCCTCGTTGAACATGGGTGAGAATGAGGAATGTGATCAGACAGGGTCAGTGGGAGGGCTTAGCTAGTCTGAACCAAGGGTCCTTAATTTAGAGCCTTAAGCTGCTAGTTAACAAAAGGCCTTAATTCCATCACTTGATCCTGGCATAGTTCTGGGCCTTTGTCTCCTCTGTGTGGTGTGAATAATAACTTTTCCACTTTTGATCCTCCCCAGTTACCCTGAGGGTAGTGGTTGTGAAGTGAAGCCATCACAGTTCCAATGTTTAGGCCTCTTGTTGTCTAGAGCATCACTGCGCCATGGTTCCTAAGTGCTGCCCATCTGTCTGCCACTCCTGTCCCATCTCTTTGTTTTCTGTCCTTCTTTCTTTATACCAGCTCTGGAAAAGGCTCCACTTTCCCAGGCCCAGGTATCCTAGCAGGGCCCAAGTTGTGTCCCTTGCCTTGCGCTGACCACTCCTTACAGGATGTTCTCTGCGCCCCTGGACCCCGATGGGACCGTGTTCCGGCTCCGCTTCACAGCCTTTGTCTGGTGGGTCATCACTTTTCCCCTGTTCGGCTTCTTCTTCTGCATCATCTGGTCTCTGGTGTTCCACTTTGAGTACACGGTGGCCACTGACTGTGGGGTGAGTTCCAGGCTTCCGAGCACCCTCGGCAGGGGCAGATTATAAGGCAGTGCTAAAGGAAGAATCAGGGAATAGAAGACAAATGGAAGGTCAGAGAGAGGAAAGGAATAAAAGGAGTGGGAGTGGGACAAGCCAGAGTTTATGGAGAAGTTAGAGGCAGGAACTCTGGAGTCACTGCCACCTCTAAGACAGAAAGTACAAAAGAGTTGGGGCAGAGCATGGTGAGGGCATGTGGGGGAGGGGAGGAATTGGGGCTGGGCAAGAAAAGGAGGAAGATACTAAAGAAAAACTAGATTAGAGGAAGGTAGGGACTAAGGATGTGTAAGAGACCAGGAGCCTGGATAAGTAACAAGCAGTTTTAGCTCAGATTAGGGAATGATCCCTGTTCTGAGAACTCCTAGCTTGGTTCTCTACTGGCAGCCCTAGATCCCAACACCTGTGTGCACTCAGGGTAGCTAGAAACCAGGATGGACTTCCCACTTCCTAGATCAGTTTACTGGGTCTTTTCTGAGGAACCAGGGATATAAAATGTGTGTCAGAGGCATGGAGATGAATATACACTTGCTCTTAGCATCTATTCACACAAGAGATTATCCATAGATATGGTTACAATATAGTGAGTTGGAATTCCTTTTTTTTTTTTTTAAGATTTTATTTTTATTTTTATGTGTGTCTGTGTGTGGGTATGTGCACATAAGTGCGGGTACTTAGGGAGGCCAGAAGCTCTCTTAGAGCTGGTCTCCTAGAGCTGGAGTTAAAGGTGGCAGTGAGCTGCCTGAGGTGGGTGCTGGGAACCGAACTGGGGTCTTTTGGAAGGACAGCAAGCTCTCTTAACCACTGAGCCATCTCTTGCCACTTAATTTGGATTCTTATTGTGATAAAAAGGAATACATGAACTACAGGGCTCAGAGGAGACGTTTACCCTAGCTTGGAAACTGGAGATGATTTCTTTTCTGAAGGAGGCAACTTTGTTGCTGCATATGTGTGGAGGTGAGAAAGGATCATTGTGGATACTAGGCCAACAACTGTGGATTTTATCCTGAGGACCAACAACCGTGGATTTTATCCTAAGGATAATGGGAGCTTTAGAAAGATTTTAAGCAGAAAGAAACATGATTAGGGTTGTGCTTTAAAATTTCCTTCCAGCTTCTGAATGGAGAAAGACTAGGGATTAAGTATAGAGAGACTGCCAGGTGGTCTACTACTGCCAGGTTACTTCTAGCACTCCTGGGGCAGAGGAAGGAGGCCAGCCTGGTCTACAGATCAAGGCCTAGGGCAGTCAGAGCTACTTAGAGGAACCATATTTCAAAAAACCAAAACCTAAACAACAACAGAAAGAATAGGGAGACCAATGAGAGTGCTAGTGTAGTGGCTTGTATTACTGGTGACCAGCACCAAGAAGATATATCTCCTGGCCTAGATAACCTTTTATAACTAGTATATGTGATTTTTGCCTGAGTCCAAAAAATTATTCTTTAATGGTATAATCTGAATCTGGGAGGTGGTGGCACATGCCTTTACTCCCAGCACTCGGGAGGCAGAGGCAGGCGGATCTCTGTGAGTATGAAGCCAGCCTGGTCTACAAAGCTACACAGAGAAACCCTGTCTCCAAAACCAAAACAAAACAAAAGGTATAATATGATAAAGAGTGTATGTGCCAGAGGACAATCTTGGGCTCTCGTATCCACTTTATTTTTTAATACAGTCTCATTTGGCTAGGCTGACTGGCCAGTGAGCTTCAAGGATCTCCCTATCTTTGCCTCCCCAGCACTGGAATTACAAGTGCTTGCCATTGTGCCTGGCTTCTACCTGGAGTCTAGGGCGCAAACTCAAGTTCTAATGCTTGCACAACAAACATTTTACTGAGCTATCTTTCCAGTCACTAGTTAGGGGATTTCTTAGAACTTTCCCCTACTTTCTGATCTACTTCTCTATTAGAAGGGGGTTCTTTGCTCATCAATGCTTTTAGCTCTGGACTTATGGGGATGTTTGGAATGAACTGTGTATATCTGGTGTCTGATAGTTTCTGAGGTGGTTGTTGGCACAGTTAGTAAATTAGGGAAACTTGATGTGCTGGAGAAGGAAGTGGAAATATTTACCTGGTTATATGTGTATGTTTGTATGTGATGGGTGACACAGTTCCTACTCTTAAAATCCTGCCTCACCTTTAATCTGTGTGAAGATAGCCTCACAGTCACTAACCTTCTCTTCCTCTCAGTCAGGGGCTACCACCTGGAATGCTTTCAGTTTCCCAGTAGACTTTAACTGAGATTGAGAAGTAGTCTTCAGAATGAATATAACAGGAATCCTGACTGCACTCAGCCACCCAACTCAGGGCATCAGAGATGCAAGAGGTCTCACTCACCATCTGGTGTGCTGCCTTTCCCTTCTCAGTGGGTTTCTTATACTCATTAGCCCTGCAACTCACAGCCTTTTTCTCAGGCTTTTCATGAAAGCCTGTCTTCTGAAAGCCATCACTTTTATACCCACTGTGGGCCTGACACTGTAGAAGCTCTGTCACCCTACAAAGCCAGGTACACTGGCGAATGTTTTCAATCCCAGCACTCTCAGGCGGATCTCTTTGATCTCTGTGATTCAAGACCAACTTGGTCTACATAGCAAGTACCAGCCAGCTGGGGCTTCCTAGTGAGATTCTTTCTTAATTAATTAAACAAAATTAAATCACCTTATAAGATAGGTGGCATTATAGCTCTATTACCAATGAAGACATTGGAGCTCAGAGAGGTGAAGGGAGGGCCTTGCTCAAAGTCACCTAATGATAAAGACAGAGCTGGGATACAAACCCAGCTTTTGGAGCAGCTTCTCTGAGAACTCTGCACTTAGCTTCCTCTTGCAGTGCTGTGGTGGCTGGGAGGTCCCTGGATGGCCTACCCCATGCCCTGAGAGGTCCCTCCAGCATTGTCCACTGTACCAGCAGCCCAGAGGCTCATTCAGCATCTTCTCTGAAAGGAAGGAATGGAGCTCCCAGAATTCTGTTTCTGAAGATCTAAAGACTGGACCCTTCATAGTTAGAGCAGGGTCGCTGGGTGGCTGGGCTCTACACTGACCTGGCTGTTGTTGAGTCTAAAAGTCTGTAGAAAGTGTGGACAGTGGGTTGACAGCTTCTGGCATTGGAATCTTTTACAAAAGCCACTCTCACCTTCCAGGCCTGAATGTCCCACAGCTCCCAAATGAGCTCATGTATGTTAAAATTTGCAAAGCACTGCTTTGCAAGAGATCCTCTTCCCATCCCTGGCTTTCCCAGCCCCGTCTAAACCACTGCTCACTTGTTCCCATCCTCTTACTTGCCACACAGATAACAACAGCACTCCTTCATCTCTGTGACTGTTACCTTCCCCTCTTTCATCAAGCTTAAAGAGTGAGACTGCAGCTCCGCAAAGAATGAGGAGTCCCAGGCACTGAGAAAGATGGATGGAATTGTTGGTGCACAGGGACAGGGACATTTTCTTTTCTTTCTTCTTTTGAGACAGGTTTTTTTGTTGTTGTTTTGTGTTTTTTTGGTATCCCTGTCTGGTCTGGAACTCAGAGTTCTACCTGCCTCTCCTTCCCATGTGCTGATATTAAAGGTGTCTGCCACCTCTTCTCCATCGCGCGGAGAAGAGCCTACTTTCTTAAACACAATCAGATGATTACAATAGGGATTACCTGCAACTCTTGGCTCCCCTCAGGATCTCACAGCATCCTCTACACATTGCTGCACCTGCCTGGGGGAATGAGTGGAGCTGGGAGCAGTGACAGGAACAGCTCAGCAGGGGGGTGCTGTTCCAAGTAAAGTCCAAAGGTCTGTGGCCCATCCTGATCTTCAGGAATCAAACCTGGGATCCTGGGATGCCTACAGAGCCTTATTGAGTCACAACCCTGAGATGTCAGCATAAGGAGAGCCTGAAGTCATATGCATGCCTGCTCAGATGTGCGGGTTTCAGTTTCAAGAAAGATGGAGATAACCTTACCCCTGTCTAAATCCCAGACAGACTAGGGAATGAACGTATCAGTCCTGGGACCTAGAAGTGGAAGGCTTGGGAGGGCGTCAGAAGGAGAACTTGGAAGAAAAGTTAGTGGCTTTAATAGATGGGAAGAAGCCCTTCCTGGTGGGCGGGATCGGCAAAGGGGATGCCTAGACTCCCGGATTAACTCTCTAGGTGCCCAATTACCTGCCATCAGTGAGCTCTGCCATTGGTGGGGAGGTTCCCCAGCGCTACGTGTGGCGCTTCTGCATTGGCCTGCATTCGGCACCCCGCTTCTTGGCGGCCTTCGCCTATTGGAACCACTACCTCAGCTGTGCATCCCCGTGTCCGGGTTACCGCCTTCTCTGCCGCCTCAACTTCAGTCTCAACGTGGTGGAGAACCTCGCGCTGCTCGTGCTCACCTACGTCTCCTCCTCCGAGGACTTCAGTGGGTGCCCTGACAAGGGAGGGGTGAAGGGCACGGGAAGGAGGCGCAGCCCCCTTTCCTGCCTAAGGGTGAAGGTGGTGTCTATCCTCCTTTCTCCCTCCAGCCATCCACGAAAACGCTTTTATTGTGTTTATCGCGGCATCCCTCAGTTACATGCTCCTCACCTGCATTCTCTGGCGGCTGACCAAGAAGCACACAGTAAGTCAGGAGGTACGGTCTATCCCTACTGGGTACTAGGAAGCCCAGAAGAAGATCAAAGACATTGGTCCTCAGGATGTGGGTAATGATGGGTGATTAAGGACTTCCTATTAGGAAGCCAGAAGGGCATGGGGGCTTTGGGCTGAGGCTTGGAGAAAGGTTGATTTGTCCCAGTCAACCATTTGGGTAGTACTGAAGAATGCATAGAGGCTGGAAATGGGACCAAAATCAAGGGTAGCGGCCCAGTGGGTTTGAAACACTGTCAGTGGACTGGTTTATAATAACCCCCACCCACATACTTGGCCTTTCTTTGTCCCACAGCACCTGGAAGTGTTGGGTTGGTGGGTGAACTCTGTGCATCTTTCCTGTTCCATCCCACTGAAGTGGGAAGGGCAAGAGATAGCACTATTCCTTGGCTTCATTGTCACCCTAAATGCAGGGATGTGGAAATGCTCATCGTTTTTGCTGCCCCTGTCTATATTCCCTTCCATGACCACTTTGGGAACCAAGGGGGGAGTCCCAACCTTTAGGAACTGAGTCTAAGAGGGAAGCCCACAATACCCTACAAGCTGCAGAGTGATCAGATAGTCCATCCTCTAGGATCGCAAGTCCTACAGCTGGAAACAGCGGCTCTTCATCATCAACTTCATCTCCTTCTTCTCGGCGCTGGCTGTCTATTTCCGGCACAACATGTATTGTGAGGCTGGAGGTGAGGCCAGGCTACGATCTGTAAATGGTCATAAGTGACTTTAGAGCAGCTGTGGTGTTTTTTTATAGTAGGCAGTGGTCTTGGGCACTGGCTGTCATTGTGTTCTCTGGTAGGCTGGTCATGTGATGATTTAAGAAGCCACTAAGAGCTGGGTTGGTGGCACGTGCCTTAATCCCAGCACTTGGGAGTCAGAAGCAGGTGGATCTCTGTGAGTTCGAGGCCAGCCTGGTCTCCAGAGCGAGTGCCAGGATAGGCTCCAAAGCTACACAGAGAAACCCTATCTCAAAAAACAATAAAAGAAGCCACTAAGAGGGTAAAACAAGAGGTTCACCATACCCTATTCCTTATGTCCTCGTAACAGTGTATACCATCTTTGCCATCCTGGAGTACACTGTTGTCCTCACCAACATGGCGTTCCACATGACAGCCGTGTGGGACTTCGGAAACAAAGAGCTGCTAATAACCTCTCAGCCCGAGGAAAAGAGATTCTGAACCTATCTCTGATGCTGGGAAGAGGCAACCTACTGCCCAGAAACAAGAAACCACTCTGGCCTTTCCTCTCTCCATGTCCTCTCTGGGCCCTTCTCAAACTGGGGGCTGAGGGAGAAGAGCAGGAGTGGACATGACAAGGCTGACCCCAGCACTGCTGACCTCTCCCCAACCCTCCCAGAGATTTTCAAGAAACATCACCATTAAGTGAAAGGGCCTAAAAACTGAGCTGGCAGGAAAGCTCCACCACTTGGTGCTAAAAAGAAAAAAAGTTCTGAGGTTCATGACCATCCTTTAATTTTTGACCTTTATAATGACACTTTTCACTGAGGTTAAGAACCCCTGAGCAGTGGATCACTACTTGAAGATCATTTCTCTCTAGGCCCTTCATTTGATGTGTCTAGTGACTCTGCACACCCCAGAGCAGTTGTAGTTCTGTGAATTGCCCAGGTGTTCTAGATGTATGCTCTTCCCTTCAGCTTCGTGTTCCCGTGTAAGCCTGGGAGGCGGCTTTGCTGGTGTCTCTGAGGTCATCTGATAGAAGTAGTGCTCTGTATTTGACAGATGACTTGGCCCAGAAGCATCAAGCATAGAATGTATTTTCCTTCCTGTCTAGAACCACTGGCTTTTGGGGCACACTGAAATGTGCCTGTATGCTTAGCACATTGGAAGCTGAGACTGGTGGACTGCTTCAAGATCCATGCCAACCTGGGCTACAATGAGACCTTGTCTCCAAAATGGAGTGTTAGGCATTGGTAGTACATGCCTTTAATCACAGCACAGCAGAGACAGGCAGTAACTGTCAGCTCAAGGCCAGAATGGTCTACACAGTGAGTTCCAGGCAGGTCAGGGCTACACAGTAAGACCTTGCCTCAGAAAAAAAAAAAAAAACAACTCACCCCACCAAATCACAGGCTTGTAAAACCTTTCCCTCCAACAAGGGGGTAAGGGTCACAGGTAGATTTCCCTACTCCAGAATGGGTTCCTTGATTTTCCTCCATTTTCTCTATTGCCCCTGATACCCAGCTTTTATTTGTATATTTTATTTCGAAGAATAAATTTTTTCATTTGCCAACAGTTGGGGTTGTTATGTTACTCCTGGGGCTCATTTGTGCATGGGACAGACCTGAGGTGAGGAATGGAGGGATTAAGTCTACAGCAGCTCATTTTCATGTGGTTCTTCCTTACCTCTGCTGCCTAATGTTTCTTCAGCCTCCATTTTGGTGTACAGAAGTGGCTGAGCTATCTCTGAAATGACTCAGCCTGGAAGCTGGGCTGGCTAGGAGTGTTCAGTTGAAGCAGAGGCCTGGTTCTGGCTATAATCCTGCCAGTAACGGTCCCCTTGTAGTCTTGAGGGGACATCTTAAATGTATGACTGAAAGCACATGTCTTTAGACTCATGGCTTTCAACACCCCACTTTGGAGCCTGGACCAGGAAGTCTTTTCCTTAAGCTTTGCATTCTAGTCCACTATGGCATCTGTGGCCAGGTCCCAAAGCTTTGTTAGGGAAAGTGAAGGGTGGTGGTAGAGAACCACAATGAAGCCTACTGTCTCCTATCCTCTTAGAGGAAACAAAAGGTTCCCAGTTTCTGGGGAGCCCTAGCTCATGCCCACCCGTGAATGCCCAGCACATAGGGAGGAGCCGGGGCCACTGGAGACAGGAGGTTTTATTGATGCTGATGGGGGTAGGAAAGGCCCCAGAAGCATGGGGCTCGAGTCAGTCAGCAGACGTATCAGGCCTGGGCACATGGGGCAGGTTAGGGCATTTTTCTTCTCAGGGTTCTGTGGCTCCTCCCTTGGGGGAGGGAGAGAATATCTTGGAGAGCCTACTCCAAGAGCAAAGGCAGAGAGGTTAGAGCCCTTAACCTGAGAGGAGGCACCACAATAGGCAGCAACAACTTTGTGGAAAGCTGGATGAACTGGTCAGTAGCAGGAAATGGAAGGCAGCACTGGGTTGGCCTCTTGGAAAGGTCAACCTGGCTTAGGTGAACTCATGGAATACTTGGTATTCCTAAGCAGAGTGGGGTGGGGCCCAAAGCCCCTTTCCCTGTGTACCTCCTTAAGGAATAAAAGGCATTCAGGGAGTCCCCTGGCATGGGGTGCCAGAATTAGTCCTTAAGGCACAGCTGGGAGCAGACAAGGCGCCAAGGCACAACTGGTGGGGGAACAAGGGGTAGGCTCCAAGCTGAGTGCCAGGGTCACAAGAGGATGCAGGACCGCCCACGCTTTATCGGTGTTGGGTTGAGCACTGCCCGGACAGCCTCAGCAAACACCTCCTTGACGCCGTCCTGCTGCAGTGCTGAGCACTCGAGGTAGCGCACAGCATGAATCTGCTTGGCCAGTGCCTGGCCCTGCTGCGGTGTGATGGGCGCTTGACCCTGCTCCTTGAGGCGTCGTAGGGTATCAGGCTGAGCTCTCAGGTCCTTCTTGGTGCCTACCAGGAGGATAGGCACATCTGGGCAGTGGTGACACACCTCTGGATGCCACTTGTGCCTCACATTTTCATAGGAGGGTGGACTGGCAATGGAGAAACAGATGACAAAGACATTGGTCTGAGGGTAGGAAAGGGTGCGGAGGCGGTCATATTCTTCCTGGCCCGCAGTGTCCCACAGGTTCAGGTTCACTGTGCGTCCGTCAACTGCACTCTGGGCGCTGTAATTGTCGAACACAGTGGGGATGTATTCCTTGGGGAAGGCATTAGTCGTATAGCAGATGAGAAGGCATGTCTTGCCCACAGCCCCATCACCCACCACCACACACTTGATGCTCTGCATTGTGTGTATAGCTGCTGGAGTGGAGGCAGTGCCTCCTCCCTCTTCTGGACTCCACTGGAAGTAGTAACCTATGGAGAGATGAAGGGGACATTCTTGATTTAGGAGACCTGTACCCACTGAGAAGAAAAGATGAAGATATACAGAGGAAAACCATTTCTCGTTCAGTTATCCTGACACCATCCCAAAGTATCATTGTGACAAACATTAGAAACAAGGAGAGGTACTAAGCAAAATGCTGCAAAGCTGCAGCATTGTATGAGTTCTGGTGTCAGCCTAAAGTCAAATCCCATTGCTATTTCTAGCAATGACAATGGACAGACCACTCAAACCTCAGTTTTCTTACCTGGGAAATGGAGATAAATAATATCAACTCCATGTACTTATTGTAGGGATTTAAAACATTGAGGGTAGTACCTGGTTAATTAATACTAGCTATTTTTATTCTTCTTTACAAGGATCTCCCAGTTCATCTACTACATATGGACTCCCCTCACCAGTCTGATCTCCCAATACTGGCTCCAGAGCCTCAAAAATTAAAGACAATATGCATGATGGAGGCTCTTTATTGGGGAGCGGAAAAGGAACTTTGGCTTTTGGCTATGGGGCTGCAATGGACCCAAGCATTGACACTGGTCCCCTCTCAGGCTGCAGCTTCTTCTAGGACCAACTGGGAGGGAAAGAGTATTACATGATGAGGCCACATCTCATATTCCTATTAACAGGATTGCCATCTGATATGTACTCATGTGAGTTCAACCTTCGGGTATTCAGGCAGACCCTGAGAGTGGGTAGTAGCGTAAATAATGGCCCTCTAGGGCAGCAGAGAGAACCTCAGATTTGAAGACCAGAGAGTAAGTTTTACCTCAGCTTTCTGACTCACTGCAGCCAAGCACGAGGCACTTATCCCCTCTGGGTCTCAGTTTTTCTTTTCAGGAAATGAAGGTAAAAGGTCTATGACAGGGCTGGAGAGATGGCTCAGCACATAAGAGGAGGTACTGCTTTGATGATCTAAGTTCAATTCCCAGAGCCCACTTTGAATAGCTCCACAACTGCCTGTACCTCCAGATCTAGGGAAGCCATTGCCTCTGGCCTCTGAAGGAACAAGCAGTCATGCAAAAACACAGCTGTGTGTTGTGTATTTACCTATAATCCTAGCACTCAGTCAACAAAGGCAGCAGATTACTGTAAGTTTGAGACCCATGTAGTCTACCTAGTGAGTTCTAGGCCAGCCAAAGATACACAGTAAAAACCCTGTCCCAAAGCAAAAACAAAGACAGGCTTAAAGAGGAAAACATATTGCATGTGTTTTCTCTCATATGTGAAGTCTAAATTTAAATATATAGCAGAGTTAAATGTGTGTGTGTGTGACATGAAAGCAGAAGGGGAACTATTTGGGAAGAGGAAGGACATCAGTGTAGAGAGAGGAAGGGTGACTATGAGCAAAGTATAGATAAAGATGATACATATAGGAAAACTTCATAATGAAATCTATTTTCTTGTATATGAATTTTAAAAATGTAACTTAAAAAAGCCTCAGGGGCAGGGGTCATTAGTTGTGTCCACTGTGTTATTTGAGTCCTGGCATTTCACAGCAAAACTCCTGGGCCTGAAATCTTTAGATCAATACAGAAGGGTACTAAGTAGTAGTAAGACTTAAGACCCCTAACCAGAGGTGGTGGTGTACGCCTTTAATCCCACTCTGAAGGCAGAGGCAGGCAGATCTCTGTGAGCTTGAGGCCAGCCTGGACTACAGATGGAGTTCCAGGACAGGTCCAAAGTTACACAGAGAAACCCTGTCTCAAAAAAACAAAAAAACAAAGACACCCCTACCCCCAGGTTCAGCAATGAATGCCACAGGCAGGAAGGCAAGGAGGGAATTCTGGCCAGAAGTCTGAAAGTACAACATGCTCTCTAGGGAGGTAGTTATCAACCAGCAATCAGTAAACCAGCTCTTAAAGAAGTGGGGAGGGAGAATAGCTTCCGGGCTGGCAAGGGAAGAGGGCCTGACACCGGAAAAGGATCATGAATGAGTTAGTGTCCAAAATAAGATGTGGCATATGATCAGCAGTAAATACCTGAATCTGACCCACTAGGTTCACCTGCTGATCAATAAAACACATCTATATGGTACAAGTGTTTACAGATGGCATAATACCATGTTACTTGATCCTCATGACCTTTTGATAGGACTTCTATTTTACAGATGAAGAAAACAAACTCAGAGCTGTTAAAGTAATCCAACCTCACACAGCTATTTAGAGTATGGGAGCCAGGACACACCTCAGTTCTGTGATCCAAAGTCTTCTTCATTGTATCACGTGGCTCCCAGCTAACTGTGGGGCCTTGAACAAATCAGTCACTTCCTTTACCACAGCCTCAGTTTCTTCATCTGTATAGCAAGAGTCATAACACTTGTGCCTTCCTGGCCTCGTGGGGATGTAGCACGAGAGCGGACATACTTTCCTGTACCGTGCATACAACATATGATTGCTCATGTGTGAGTAGTAGCATTGGCTTAATTCTCCCTGTTCACTCTTAGCTCAACCTTCACCCTCTCCTGATATGACTCTCCTCTCCTTTTTCCTTTTAGTACTTTTATCTCTGTTGTTGTTAGCACTACTGAGAATTGAATCTAGAGCCCCACACAAGCTAGACAAGTGCTCTACTATTAAGCTCTATCTCCAGCTCTCTGGCAATTCTTTTCTCTGAAATTCTTTGGCTAAAGTGGGTCAGCTTAGTTCCCTTTACCCACTAAACTATACACCCCTGGGCTTATCTAACATGTCAAATTGGAAGAAAAGACTGTCAGTGCTGTAGGAGGCCAATGTCTGGCATTGGATTTTGATTATGACTTTTGCTGGGAATGTGGCTCAGTGGTATTGCACTCGCCTAGTGTATGTAAAGGCCCAGTTTCAATCTCCAGAATTCTACTCCCTAGTAATAGATATAATTTAAAAAACAAACTTGGTTTAATAAATAAATTGATGTTTGAAGATCTATATATTAGCAAATGACAACAATTTGTTCTAGGTTTTTATACCCAATTTAACTCA